GAGAATGTTTAAGTGGTTAGCAACGGTGTTCAAGCCGATGGCCCCCACCATGTAGCTTCTTCTGGGGAGAAAAACACTAGAGACTTAATACAATCAAATAATTCTGTTTGCGTATTGCTCTTCACATGTGCAGCAAGCAGATGTCCAAAACTTCTGAGTCACGGTTCTCTCTGGACGTCTCAGGTGGATTGTAACACTCAGGTGTTGACACCCTCCTGGGTCATTCCCGACCTTTTACACCGCAGCACGTGCTGTGTGTTCTCAGTTCTGGGGCTGTGTGGGTGTGTGAGAGAGATAAAATTCTGGCATTACTTCACACCAGGGAGTCCACACACACACACACACACACACACACACGCACACACACACACACACACGATAAGTCGTTGGGAGACTCCCTATTTTCTATGACTCTGGCTCTTTCATGCAAGCCTCACTTTGAAGAAACACCTGCTCCACACAACAAGCATGAATACTCACCCCTAAAGTGTCCAGTCTGTCTCACCACACACTCAAACAGATCCCCGCTCTTGTTCCTCTGGCAATTTATTGAAGTTAGATGACAAACACGAGGTGACTGCACGTGCAAAGATTTTAATTTTGTCAGTTGGAGATGCAAGCGATGTCGGGAAAACACGAGACAGACTGATAACATGACACTGGAATTGTTTCAGGCATTGGGGCGGAAAGAGTTTTCTATTTACCGTAATTTCCGGACTATAGAGTGCACCTCAATATAAGCCGCACCACCAAAAAAAAAAGGTTTTCTACACACACACGCCGCACTCATACAAGCCGCGGCGCAGCAGCCACATGCAGGGCTCCGGCGCACAGCGCATGTATGGCCCATGCATTCATTCATGCCAAGCTTACGTGTGGCAGCACTGTTTCGGCAGGTGAAGGAAAATCTTCAGTAAAGCCGCACCTCATTATACGCCACATGGTTCAAAGCGTGGGAAAAAAGTAGCGGCTTATAGTCCAGAAAATACGGTATATTTGCTAATATTGATAAGCTGAGATGGCCGTCTTCAATTGGTTGACCCTCAAAGGTTAATCAGCTATACATGTACATTTGAGTTTCACTAAAATTCACCCAGTTGTTCATGAGATGTTTTGGGGTTTCTCCAACAGTTAATGACAAAGTCTTTAGTAAATAAAAATGCAGCCTGTAGGGGAGGAGCTCCATCCATCCAGCCACCTGTGTTATAGTTAGGGCTAGCCTGTGGCTCTGCGGAGGCGTAATGGAGGCCCAGGTTGCTTTGATAACAGCCTCATCTTCCTATTGCCAAGCTAGATTGTCTGTGGGGTGTTCAGGTCTGACCAGTGCAGCCCAGTAACACCAGGGTCACGGAACCAGTATTTGGAACCTTTGGCTGTGTGCCCAGTCCTTCTGGAAAATGAAGGTGTTGTCCAGACTTAGCCAGGTTTTTTTAAAAACAGATATCCGCTCTCCCAAAAATAGCATCCACACCACCTCGTTTTTAAAAGAAACTCCATCCACACGTAACCACATAAGTGCACTGTTAAACACATTCATAGGGATGCCAGACCTGTAGGCGGCAGTAGTTCCGCCCAATCTTATCCATTTTGTCTTTCTGCTCAATTTCAACAAAACATGAAAAAAGGCTCCCAGCTCGTTTGTGTGGACCGCTAAGGAGGAAGAATTGCTCTTAAATGTAGTTTTTGAGCATAAAGTCAAAAACGCTTGAACGATTGATAACGCGAGCACAGCTCTGAGGGCATCCATGTTGTAGTTTAAATACAGGTCAAACTTGGGCCGTCAGCATTTTTACCACAGACAATGATGTGAAACCTAAAACTCGTTATTTCTGTCCACACAAAAATGCTTCAAAAAGAGAAAATGCAAATCTTCACTTTGGCCGGAGTTTTAAAAAGGTACGTTTTCTTGGTGTGAATTTGCGTTTTTGTGTGGATGGCAGGCCGAATTGTAGAAAAATATCTTCGTTTTGGGAGATACCCGGCTACGTGTGGACAGGACTTTGTCAGCAGAAGAACTCTATTAGGTCCTGGTTCACTGTTGATTTTAGAAAGCACAATATACCAACACCAGCAGGGGACATGGAGCCCCAAACCATCTCATACTGGGGAAACTTCCCTCTGACTCAAATGGTAAATGCTCTGTATTTGTATAGCACCTTCTTAGGGTTCTACAACCCCCAAGGCACTTCACAACACAATCGGTGGGATGAGCTACAATGTAGTCACAGCTGTTCTGGGGCGCGCTGACAGAGGCGATGCCTGCTAAACACTGACATCACCCGTCCCCCCAACCACCACCAGCAGGCAAGGTGGGTCAAGTACATGCCCAAGGACACAACAGCAGCATTCTCTGGCCAGAGCCAGGATAGAACCTGCAACCTTTCAATTCCTGGACAACTCGCTCTACCTCCTGAGCTACTGTTGGCCTTAAAGACACATGGATTATGTTCCTCTCCTCTCTTCCTCCAGACTCTAGGACCTTGATTTCCAAATGACCTACAGAAGTTACCTTCATCCTAAACAGTACAGGGCCCTCTCTTATAAACCGTACTTACGTACACATCTGTGCATGTTTCGTGGGTAGGAACCATGTGTACGGACAACATCTAGAGGTAGAACAGGGAGAGCATAATACTGAACGCGTCAATCATCCACGCATGTTCCTCATCCATCAATTATTTTGACTATATTAATAATTATGTGTGTGGAAAAGGAGCTTTGTTGCATAACTGGTGTTATAATCCATAAAAGGCATATGTGAACAACAGGAGTTTGACATTGTAGAATGGCTGATATTGCTTTATAGTAGGATTTGACAGAGCATGCACTCCGGAGGGAACATGAGCGCACCGATCTGAGATTACAGTTTGGGCCAATGGTAGCCCTGCTGAGGCTAGAATGGAGCATGGCTAGACCAACCTGCAGAGCTGCTACAGCGTAGCAGTGCGCTGGGAGGAGTGAGTCTACGGGGAGAGGTGAGCGGGTGGAACAGCAGGAGCAGCGCCGGGAGCATCGGAGACACAGATGTCGGCACTTGACACTAACGTGGAAATTCAATTGAAAGGGCAAAAATATAGTACTCAGGCTGAGCTGAGCTCCTCGCAAAATAGGCCGGAGTGGGTTTGAGATGCTGGTAGGTTACTGTGCTGGGGCGGGGTCACAGCCTGTAGTACATGTAGGATGAGTGCCGTGTTCAGTGGTGAGGCAAGGTTGTCCGATGCTGCTTCAGGGGAAGGGACATCGGGGACTCCATCAGAGTGTAGGTGTGGCCTCAGGCAGATGAGAAAGCAGCAATTGTGGCCCCAATACCATACCACTGGCTGCAAAGGCCCCTCTGGACCTGTACACCTCCAGGACATTGGGGTGCACAGGTCGAATCACAACTGACCCGTGTCACCCTGGAAACAGTCTTTTCGATGTCCTCCCATCCAGCAGGAGGCTCCAATTAACTCGACCAGAGCCTCTCACCACAAGAACAGTTTCTCCCTCTGCAGTTGGACTCATGGACTGCCCGACCAGTGTTGTGTTTGTACCTGACTGTTCGCTCTGATCACTACCTCCACTGTCTGGTATTCATCAGTCACTTCTCTAAACATTGCTCTTATATATTATAATTATTTTTATTGTTTTCAGTTCTTATTTTTCACACAAAGTGCTGCAGCAATCTCCTAATGAGGGTAACCTACTCACACATGTGGCAATAAAACCCTTCTGATTCTGAATACCCACCACACTTCTTCCATCCACTCACCTCTATATGAACAACAGCAGCTCAGGAAGTAGAGCAGGTTGTCCAGTAATCAAAAGGTTGCAGGTTCAATTCCGGCTCTAACCAGGGAATCCTTAACCAGACACTTAACCAGCCTTGCCTGCTGGTGGGGGTCGAAGGGACCGGTGGCACCAGTGTTGTGTACTCTGTCAATGCGCCCCAGGGCAGCTGTAGCTACATCGTAGCTCATCCCCACCGGTGTGTGAATGACTGATTTTGTTGTGAAGCGTCTTGGGGGGGTGGGGGTGGGGTGGGTTGTAGAATCCTAAGAAGGTGCTGTACAAATACAGAGCATTTACCATGCTTGCATGCATCACCTGTGAATCTGAAGACCATCTTCTTCTATATAAAGCAAACTGTCTGCACACAAAGAAATGGTTGCATGGGCCAGAGTGGATCATCTGACATGCTAAACAAGTTCTGCAGCTGCAGTATTTTCTTAGGCACTACATTTGGTTTGGAAAAGTTCTGAAAGTCTTAGTTTGCTGTTTAAACGTCCTCCTGCTGTCATACTAGACTGAAATGCATCATGTGACTCACACCATTTTTGTTATTCTAAACTAAATACAGATCTGACATTATTTCAGATATATTTTATATTCTACAAAGATGCTGCTGCAAGGTGTTTTGAGTTATTTAGCTTATTGTGTGATACTAATTAAACTTTTTCCACAATCATGGACGTAATTTTCACTTTAGGAGTGGTGGTGGTGGTGGTGGTGGTGGTGGTGGGGGGGGGGGGTCTTTACAGTATGCTCTAATGGGAAACAGGCTTCAACACAAATGGTTGTTTTCTGCTTGGTCCTAGAGCTCAACCAGTGTTAATTTAATAAAGTGTAATATTGTTTTTGGATGGTAAAAAGTGCAGGGGTCGAAACTTGACTTTGGAAAAATTGGGGGGGACATGCCCCCCCCCAAAAAAAAAAATTACGTCCATGCCCACAATAATCTAATTTTTAAGACACTGAATTTTCGGTTTTCTTATCCATAGCTGCGATCCTCCCAATTAATAAAGGCTCGAATGATTTCAGTCTTTTGATGAGTTGAACTTTCCACTGGCTACTCACGATCATGTCATTGTCCGGTTTTCTACTTGAACTGTTTCCCGGGCCGTCGCTTTCACACGCCCGTGCATTTTCCCGCCTCCTCTCTGTCTGACTGTTGATAACATCCTTCTCCGCCGCTAAACTCCGCCCCTCCAGGCGCGCTGGTTTATAAATCAAGCACATTCCATCCCTGAGCATGCAGAGCGGCTGCAGACCTCAGATCAGCCCAGCGTCGAGTAGACATCCGCAGGCATGAGCAGGATGACCGCAGGTCGGTGCTCCGTGATCAGCACCCGCATCGTTGGAGGAATCCGCAGGGACAAGCCCAAACTTAAGGTCACTTTCAGATTTTCAGATGTATTTAATGATGTTTCGTCATTAAATAATAAAGCTGACTTTGATTGTTGTTGTTGTTTTAACTCCTTAGATGTTCATGATATCTGTGTTGTGGGCTGATGAGTCTGAAGTGATCATTTACAGGTCCTTCCAGGATTTCAAGAAGTTTCACGTGAGAATAAAATCTGCTCCTTTTTACGCTGATTTTTATTTCATGAAGAGGTCCTAACATTTTTTTTATTTTGTTCAACAGAAGCAACTAAAGAAGAGATTCCCTCATTTTAATCCTTTTCGGAAAGAAGACAGAATTATCCCAAAGTTTAGTGGTAAGATCATTTAAACTGTGAGAACAAAACACAGCAAAGGACCAACAAGAACTGTATTAATATTTATTTTATGAATAATAAAGAGTTCATAATAAACAAAACAGTAATTTTATCAGTTTACAGTAAGACTGAAACTGTTTTTATCTTCAGGAAAGGCCAGAAGGAGCAGCCTGCAGCAGAAAGGGTCCAGTAAGTCTATCTGGCAGATGAAGTTCCTGGAGAGCTACTGCAAGAAACTGCTGAAGTGTGACCCAACTGTGACCCAGAGTTCAGAGGTCACACGCTTCTTTACGCCCAGGGACCACGACCTACAGCCGGACTACACCAAGAACACGTAGGTCCCCGTGTTAGCAGGAGTTTAAATGTTCTTGACTTGTTTTAGTAATCCTTTTGTATATTTGCATTGTCTCTAGTGTCATGATCCTGATGTCTGACGAGCTGCTGGATGGAGAACGGGGAGGCGGAGCTGGTCGTCACTCTGTAGGAAATGTCACCGACCCATTCGTCACCCAGACATACCGCAGCGTCGCTCCTTATGAGACCAAGGACACCAAGAATAGACCTTTTAAGGTGGCTGCAGATGAGAAACTGGAGGTCTTGATCAAAGATCCTGCAGGTCAGCGATGCAGCTTTCATGCATGGAACTTCTTGCCTAAAGACTTAAATAAATTAATCTTAAAAACATGCACAAATCTTACAAGTCATTCTTCCCTGTACAGGGTGGTGGCTGGTGGAGAATGAGGAGAAGCGTCTGGCTTGGTTTCCTGCTCCCTATCTGGAGTTGGACGATGGAGAGGATGGAGATGAGCACGAATCTTTGGCAGGTGAGATTTTTTTTTCTGGTTTCAGTGTGAAATTTTGTATCTCCAAATGTCAACACTAGAGGGATCTCTGTGTACGTAGTAGAGATGACTCTGATGTAAAACAGTTCTCCTTCTACCTGTGTGTTTCAGGTTCTCTCTACTGCACTGTGAGGAGTTATTCCACCAAGAAGGCTGATGAGGTGTCTGTGTCCATTGGCTCCGTGGTGGAGGTGCTGAGGAAGTCTGACGATGGCTGGTGGCTCATCAGGTACTGATGCCTTCATCTTCACAGATATATATCCATACTTGTGTTGTATTTGCAGACTAGTATTTAAAAGCAATGGAAGTAAGGAAGAACTCAGAAAATGTCCCTTTTGAATCCACTGAATTGTCTCTCAGCCTAATTTTTTTCATTTTTAATCTTTTTTCTTGCATTTTTCTGCTCAGATCCAATGGGAAGGTTGGCTACATCCCCTCTATGTACCTGCAGCCATACAACAACCCACGGGCCGGACTTCATGGGCTGCACAGGAAGCTGCACAGCTCCTCTCTGAACCTGGCAACCCCTAGAGAGTCTCTGACGTCTCGTCCACCTAGAATCAGCGAGGACAACTCCCAGCACCACCTCACCCCTCGCTCTGGTCAGCAGACCAGAGCTCTCGCCTGTTTCCACAGGGCCCAGTCCCTGAATGTTCTCTCTGAGTCCTGGCAGCGGACAGAGAGGGACGCCTCCACGTCCAACAGCACAGACTCCATCTTCTCCGAGTTCTCCTCCAGCAGCGACTCCACATCAAGTCTGAAAGAGGAGCCCCAGAGCCCTACAGGTCACCACATTGCCCCTTACCAGCCTGACATCAGCCCCGATCACAGCCTCTCTGACCGCCGCAGCTCCAGCACCAGCTCTGACAGCGCTGGATCCCAAGGCAACAAAGTCACCCCGGGTCCTCCCAGGGTTCCTCCCAGACCCAAAGCCGAGGAGATCCTGACTCGCTGCACCACCATGACACGCAAGGCCGCTCAGGTCACCAAGACCAGGCTTCAGATTCAGCCAGACTCCACTTACAGTCGTTAGAGAAACCACAGTATTTATCACTAATAAACCCGATTTCATCATTATTATACACACACTAAATATAAAACACATTATAGGCTCAGTCAAGTAGGTTTGCCTAGTTTTTAGTTTAGTTTGGGGAAAACTAAACTAAACTAAAAAAAAAGGTTTACGTCTGTTCTGATGTTGGAAGCAGCAAACTGGATTAGCATTTTGTCTGTTTGCTGCAGGCGTTTGCATGTTAAGGTGTAGCTTCAGTGAAGCATTTAAAAGAGTAAAATGAAGGAAATGTGTGATTTTTACATTAAGTAGCACATTTTTTATTTATAGTGTGAATAAAGGAGCTTTCATTTGATTAAGGGATTCATTGAATGACTTTCACTTTCTTACATTTAAACTTTTTTTTGGTGAATGTAAGTAAAAATGGGATTTTTTTCCATTTGTATTATCATTTATAGCACATTTATTCCTTTAATGTACTGTATTTTACAAACTTGTATCCTGTGTTTCAACAATTTTTGTGATGCGGCTGAAAACAGCTAGAACAGCACAAGTGTTAACCCTCCGAGCGTCTCTCTTACTTTTGATGTTATTAAGCTTCTGATTGTGTTCTGTACAGCGGCCGATGTCTGAGATGTGCCTTTAAATGTTATAGAAGCAGATTATTAAAATGAATTCTGTGCAGAACTGTTACATGTGGGAATTTATTCTGGAGCAAAATTTAAAAATGGCAGTCAAACAAAAAAAAATCTGTCTTTTTTTTACACAGCAAAATAACCTTTAAAGGGACACATTATACAAAACTCTCCTTTTGCATCCTTTTGTGCTGCCATGTGAGTCTCTTGCCTCTACAAACACTCCAAACATGAAAATAATCTAATAATCTACTTTCAGTCGGGTTTTTTTTCTTTAAGAATTATTTGTCCAAAACAAGTCATTTCAAAAAGTCCCTTTTTGTGATGTCACAAATGGGGAAATTAGCACAGAAACACCTCTGACTTGAAGGAGTGCTGCTGCTGGAGTAGCAGCAACTCTATTACATGTCCTGCAGATATCAGAGCTTCTCAGCTTATAGCAGCCTGAGTGGGGAATGGGTGGGTGTGGCCAACTCCAGCTTGTTGTCTTAAAGTGACATAGCCCTTAAACAGCTCATTCTGGAAGGTCCTGACATTGTCAAGAATTAAACTTGTGAAAACCCTTTATGTGAGAGAGGGATTTGGGGGGAAAACTTCATAAACAGGTTTTGTATTGACCAAAGGACTATTATAACTTAAGGGAAAAAGGCATATGTCCCTTTTAAAAACAAAAAAAAAAATCACCAGGATAAATACGCCCTCTGTGCGTATCTCTGTTTTAATCCAGCAGCACATCTAAAGTTGATGCACATGGACATTTTATACCTCTGAAAGCATGAGGGGTGGAAAGCATAAATACAGAAGTATAATCAGGAACACATGGGTGGGTTAACAAGGGGCAGGAGAGTCCAGTAAACAACTAATTAGGGGTAAACGAGACCAAGAGTCAGCGGGTTTGGAGCAGATCCTGACAGTTTGTTCTCATTATCATTACCACCCATGAATAATCAATAATCATCACATGAAAGGGAATGTTGACTAATCTCAGCTGATCCAGATTCAATCTGACATGGTTCACACAGTTTCCGGGTACACCCGATGGGTACACCTAAAACAAGTTGGTGCTGAATCCCAAACGCCTCGGGTCTGAAGAAGAGCGGGGTTTGAATTGAAGCTAACCATCGTGACATTTTTATCTTTTAAACAAACACACAACATGTCGTTACTCACAACCTAACTCAAGGGGATAAACTCCTCCTGCCAAAAGTAAAGCCAACACAGAAGTGCCTATTTTATTCTTATTTTTATGTATTACTTTTTGCTATTTTTTTGGGAAGATTATGTACTTTCTAAATGGTAAAATGGTAAATGGCCTGTATTTGATATAGCGCCTTCTATGTGATGAGTGTTTTTTTTAATTGATACTGACAGCTGTGCGGTACTTTGAAAGAGCTTTACAACAAAAATTGCAGTTCCCCGCTTATCCACTAGGGGCTGGCACCAGACAGGAGCCAATTCCCATGTTAAAAATATCAACGTCATAGCAGAAATAAACGTGTTTACAGCCTGGTAAAAAAACATTCAGTAGCTCAGGAGGTAGAGCAGGTTGTCCAGTAATAGAAAGGTTGTAAATTTGACCAGAGAATGCTGCTGTTGTGTCCTGGGCAAGACACTTAACCCACCTTGCCTGCTGGTGTTGGTCGGAGGGACTGGTGGCGCCTGCGTTCAGCAGGCCTTGCCTCTGTCAGTGTGCCCCAGGGCAGCTGTGGCTACATCATAGCTCATCCCCACCAGCGTGTGAAAGTGTGGGTGACTGATTGTGTTGTGAAGCACCTTGGGGGGTTGTGGAACCCTAAGAAGACACTATACAAATACAGGCCACTTAGCATTTAATAGGTCTAGTTTACAGTCATGACAAGTTTGAGAGGGTGCTTTTTAATTAATCCATTTAAATGTAATCAAAGTTTAAAATTATGAATAATTAGGAGTGTGTCATTTTGACTGACAGCTAGCAAATGAGCCATTAGCACAAGCAGTTTCCCTTACGAAAAAGAAGTATACTTTAAGTATTTAATTTCAAGTATACTTAAGTGTACAGAAGTTTATTTGCATACTTGTTCTTAAAGTTTACTTAGAAGTATACTCCTTGGGACTAAATTGGGCCGCTAAAAGTATACTTGAAGTATACTACAAGTATACTTCAAAGTAATAATTTAAGTTTATTTGTAGTGTACTTCTGATATAATTGAGTATACTTTTCTCTTTGAAAGTATACTTAAAGTAACCTCACAAGTGTACTTGGAGTGTACTTCAGATATAATTGAGTATACTTTTCTCCTTGAAAGTATACTTATAAGTTTACTTGTAGTGTACTTCTGATATAAATGAGTATACTTTTCTCCTTGGAAGTATACTTAAAAGTAACAATATAAGTTTACTTGTAGTGTACTCCTGATATAGTTGAGTATACTTTTCTCCTTGAAAGTATACTTATAAGTTTACTTGTAGTGTACTTCTGATATAATTGAGTATACTTTTCTCCTTGGAAGTATACTTAAAAGTAACAATATAAGTTTACTTGTAGTGTACTCCTGATATAGTTGAGTATACTTTTCTCCTTGAAAGTATACTTATAAGTTTACTTGTAGTGTACTTCTGAAAGAATTGAGTATACTTTTCTCCTTGGAAGTATACTTAAAAGTAACAATATAAGTTTACTTGTAGTGTACTCCTGATATAGTTGAGTATACTTTTCTCATTGAAAGTATACTTAAAAGTAACAGTATAAGTTTACTTCTAATAAAATTGAGTAAACTTTTGCCCTTGAAAGTATACTTAAAAATAAACTTTAAGTAACATTATAAGTTTACTTGTAGTGTACTTCTGAAATAATTGAGTATACTTTTCTCTTTGAATGTATACTTAAAATTATACTTAAAGTAATAATGTATGTTTACTTGTAGTGTACTTCTTATATAATTGAGTATACTTACAGTTTTGAAAGTACACTTTACAGTAAACTTGACATAATATTCTTTTAGTACATTTAAGTATCTCTATTTTTTCTATAAACACATACTGCAAGTAACATTTAACATCTATTTGCTTACTACCAATACATTTACTTTCCACTATTTACTGATACTTCGTCTTTATGCAGAGAAAAAAAGTAAATAAAATAGCTAAGTCATTTTGTTTAAATTTATTAAACAGAGAGAATTAGAACAGAACAAAAACAGACCTGTTTACCAGGATTAATCAAAGATGAGAACGCAAACTGTTCTGAACATGACGCGTTAATTCTGTCCATTTTGAAAGACTTTTTAAAAATGCCTTTAAAAAAATCAGTCCATTTTATGGATCCACTTGCTTGGTTGTTGATGCCTTTTTGAAGTTTTCGTTGTTGCATTTCTTTCGTGTTATTTTTCTTACATCTTGAACGCGCAGAGATGGAAACTTCAACTGAGCACGCCCTGTGAACACACAAAGCAAAAAAATGAACACTTGAACTGTTAGGTGAACTCTGACACCACAAAATCTTTACAGTTCATACACTGTAAACCCGAATAAGTAGGCAGAACTCAAAAAATGTAAGGCAATCAGTTGCCTCATATTTTCTGAGTTTATAAACTCAGATATTTGAGTATATCAGACCATAAATAAACTTAAATATTTGGAGTTTATATTAAATATATTTTCAAATTATGATCAAATTAAAGTTACCGATTAAGCCAACTCAAACAGAAAATAAAACAAAATTTGAAAGAAACAATTACAAACGCACACTTTTGAAAACTGGACAACAGCAGTGTGTAGTCTTTCTTTGAGTAGGTGGTTTAAAGCAACATCAGGATGCACATCAATTCAACATTAACAAAATATGAATTACACTAACCACTATCAAGTAAGTCAGTGAGTACTTTATGCCATTTGGCATAAAACTAGTTGAATGGGCTAATCCGATTCAATTATTCACGCTAAACTAAAGCCACAAATGGAGTTGCCAGACTCAGAACGGCTGGACGAACAGAGAAAATGTAAAACTCAACTGTTCCTCCCACTGTCTTTATGGGTGACCCCGAGAGGAAAGTTGACCATTGAGCAGGGATGATGGTTTATCCCTTGAGGTCCACGTGGCAGGGGTGAGGAGTGAGCACCACCTCACCCCTGCCACGTGGACCTCAAGGGATAAACCATCAACCCTGCTCAATGGTCAACTTTCCTCGCGGGGGTCCTACCCATTAGGACAGAGGGAGGGTTAACTCAAGAAGTGGAAAATGAACATATTTGCCCAAATGGTGGTGTGTTACTTTAACATCAACAATTAAAGAGCAGACAAATAGTAAATTACATTGTGGATGTGGACAATGCTCTAACAGAGTGAGCCATCTGAATCCACCACTCTTTCAGATTTTGAGTTACACATGTAACATCAGGTCATTTTTGACTCTGCAGCGTGGGTGACAGTTTAGACTCATCAAGACCAAGTAAGATTTTCTGCGTGAACTCAAATGTGGTGGTCAGTCCCTTCGGATAATCTAGGTGTAAGGCATAGATGAGGCCGAACATTACCAGGAAGACATCAGGAAGGCTGGAGAGGTTGACAATCACATCACCCTCTAGGATAACAGATTCTCACTGGGTCGTACGTAACTGGACTCTCGGCATCATCTGTGATGGTTGTCAGGAGGACAACTGCTGCATCCCGGAGGTCCAGCTCATTGGTATCATCCTTACAAAAATGAAAGGGAGATCATACACTAATCACATTTGAACTGAAACTCTGACTGTGGCCATTTTTATTTCAGTAGATTGTCATGTAAATAACAATAAATGCAGTCTGATAGACTCCTGTTTAGGGCTGGGCAACATATCAAAGATTTATCGCTATCCAAGTTCTTGTCTCTCATCCAGATAATTTTTCCCATGTCAATAAATTTGATAATAAAAATATGAAAAGATGTGTAAGTTGGCCACATTTATGTCCCTTTAAGAAGCTGTAGCACCTTGAGTCATGTAAAATTTTAGTCATTGTAATACACGAGACAGCCCCATCTAGTGGACAAATATTGTTGCTACGCATTCCTGTAGTTATCGTCTACTTATCGTTATCCAGGTGAGATCTTCAATATATGGTGATATTGATTTTAGGCCATATCGCCCAGCCCTACCCCCGTTCATTCTGTTGCTTTGTGCTCTCATTTACGAATAAAGTGAGATGGCTTCCGTGTGTGCCAGTGTTATGCTAATGAAAGCTGCTTGAATACTTTGCAGTGATTGTTGATTTTTCTCAGTGCCTTAAAGCCTGCCACACATGAGGGCCATCTGCTGAGCAAACGGTCTCGAATGACCGCTTATTCAGCAGATACCTCGCCATGTGCGCCTGATTTTCACAGAGTTTTCCGCCTCACGAGACGCTGAGGTGAATATCTGACCAGTTAAGATATTTTCCGCCTCACAGGGGTAAAAACTCGCCGTGTGCGCATTACCGAGCTGCTGGTTGAGCTGAAATATTCTAGTGGCCAATCAAAGCACGTTCTCCGCTCACATGACCCCAAAATGGCAGCCCCGTCTGCATGTCAGAAAAGAAACAACACAGAGACAGAGCTGGAAACGGAGGAAATGCCTATCCTTTTTTGTTGAAACGTCGCCGCCACGGCATTTGAAGGTTAGGAAAATATGGGTACGGTAGCTGGAAAGATGGACCAGGCAAGGAGTTTATGCCAATTTACTCCAAGAGATGCACCTGGAAGACCCAGAATCCTTCCGAAAGGGTAATGGAAACAGTGGGCCCATCGATCCGCAAGGTACCATTTTGTTTATTTTTCAGACACACAGACAGGGTAAGGGGCTGTATCTGAATACATCTTGGGGTCATGTGAGCGGAGAAAGTGCTTTGATTGGCCACTAGAATATTTCAGCTCAGCCAGCAGCTCAGTAGTGCACACACAGCGAGTTTTTACCCCTGTGAGGCAGAAAATATCTAACTGGTCAGATATTCACCTCAGCGTCTTGTGAGGCAGAAAACTCAGTGAAAATCAGGCGCACATGGCGAGCAATCTGCTGAGCAAACAGTCCTTCGAGGCCGTTTGCTCAGCTGATTGCTCTCGTGTGTGGCAGGCTTAAACATCTTGCCAAAGGTTTGTAGTTGAAACAATGGCACTTTTTCCAAAATGTTCATGTGCGTTGTCTTTATGCATAAATAAATAGAATGATTTGTTCAAATTTACAATACTGGGACTTACCACACATGTCCTCAAAAACCCAGAGGTTTCCTCACGTAGATAGACAGGAAGGGCATGGAGAACAGTGGTACGCCTTGTGTGGACATCATGTAATTCCTAAGAAGATTAAGAGTGTAAATACTGTAAAGTTTACTAATCAAACTTAATGCCAAATTGCTCTGACCAATTTTCCAAGACAGTGATATCTGCATCTAAATCCAATGATAAACTGCTGAATTCAAAAGTTAATTTGAAGTGTTTAGCATTACATAATACGGAGGGGTATTAGGGCCACTGAAGAAAAAATTCTGAAAATAAATAAAATTAATAAAGTCAGAATTCTGACATTTATCTCAGTATTCAATTGTTTCCTTCATTGGCCCTAATACTGCCTTATTGCCTAAGAGTATTAGAGTCACTGAAGAAAAAGAAAAGAATTGAGAAAAAAAAAGTCAGATAATTTCAAAATTCTGGGATTAAAGTCAGAATTCTGACTTTTTTCATGAACCTAAAGCCAAACAAACAAAAAACTATTTAGGAATTGTTTTTGTTAAAAA